CATTAAAATTATCTAATCTCTTTTTATTATCTTTAATTATTTGATTTTATTCATTTATTTTCATTTCTTTAATCATATTCTTTGTTTCATCAATTTAATTCATTTTCTTTTTATTCATTTTTTCTATTATACATCTTACACATAAACATCTATCTTCTTAAGCTATCTATCTTTCTAAATCAACTAAAATTATTTCTAATTTATGTTTTTAACACATTTTTATATCCTACTATTCCATTTTCTATTAAAAATTATTAATTAAATATATATTTATATATATATATATATTAAATTAAATTAATCGTTTTTATATTCATATATTTTTATAATTAAATACAAAGAACTTGATATACAAACTAATAAGAAGTGAATAGATATTTTTTTTTCAAAAAAATGAATTAGTTTTTTCTTTCTATGGCTGAAAAGCAATACTAAATTATTATTATTTTATTTTAATAGATTTTTTTAAATATTAAATTGTCCAGATATCAAATAATTAGTGCCTAATTTTATATAAATCAGAAAACATTATTCAAGTTTTATATATGATACTTAAAAAACTAGTTTTTTTGAGACAGGTTTTTAAGAATACGATCGGCAAACAATACAATGATTAGGAGAGAACAAGTTAATAATAAAAATTTATGTAATGAATATATAACATATAGAGAATTCATATTAGCAATTATGAAATTCTTTTATAAAAAATCAAAAAGAGAATAATATTTTGAAACATCAAAAAAGAGAGTATAATTTCAGAATATTTATCATGATTAGACCATGATCTAAGCAGAAATTTTAAATGTATCAAGATTCAATTTTTTGCATTATCAAGAGATTTTATAGTAGTGTAATTTTTGATTAAAATTAAAAAAAAGGTTTTAAGTCTAAGGTATTCAAGCTCAAAATTATTTGGATGAGTTTATAATTGTTAACAAATTTATTGAATAAGTCTATTTATTTTCAGATGACATGAAATAGTTATTGTAATAGAATCAATTATTTTGAATAAATTTTGAATTAAAAAAGATAAGTATTTTATGAAATTTACAATTTTTAACTTCAAAAATATTTTCATATTTAAATAATCATAAAATATTTGGTATAAAAATTCAGCTTTATTTCTTTTTTTATTTCTCTCATAAATGTTGATCCTATCAGATTGCCTTCTTTATGAAGATTTTCTAAATATTTTTCTTTAGAGCCTAGAAAATAATTACCAGAATAATAAACGAAATAACTTCTTTTAGTTAATAATTTTGATCTGACCTCTTACCTCTTATCTATTAAATATCTTTATTCGGCAAGATACTTTAATAAACAGACTCTCCAATTCACTGATGTTATTAATTAGGCTGAATAGCAAAGTTCATAAGCCTGTCGAAGTTAAATTATACTCTCTTTCTACAATCTTACTTCCATTTTATGAGGTGAACTATTCTCTTATTTGTAGAGTAAGTATTTGTTGTACACAACTAAGGGCAAAATCTTGGAAGGACTCCTTGATTCTTGTATATATATGATCCTTCCTGAGTTCTGTAATTCGAAACAAAAAATTTTTTTTTATATATTAATAGACTGTTTCTGATTACTATTAATATTAATTTTTTTTAATAAGGATTTTAAATTTTCAAATTAATCTTTATATCATCGTAATCAATTTTAGAAATCGAATTTATGGATTAATAAATTTTTTGAATAAATCCAGTTTAATAGACTATAAACTTTATTTCTTGTACTATTAATTTTCAGATTAATTTTATGAATTAATATATTGTTGAGAAAAATCATTTTTTTCACAAATTTTGCTTCGAATAATTATCATAGCACTTTAATTTTAAAAGTTGAATATTCGTTCATCCTTAACCTTTTCAAATTTTATCTTATATGTATGTAATTTTTATAACTTACATTATAATTAATTTATAGCTTATCATTTCTTTATTATAAAGCGCTCTAATTTTCTTAAATGTATAAAAAAAGATTCAAATGTTAAACCATTAGAATTAAATATTCAAGAAATAAAGTGATTAAATTATTACAAAGTTGTATTCTAATTCAGTCTTTAATGTTATTAAAGAATCCTTAAATTTCATTTTAAGAGGTACTTTTCCTGGGTTTTTTAACTTTAAATAACCCTCAAAATATGGTTTTCAGAACATTAAAGAATTTTTTCATACATTTATTTTACACAAATCAAAAACTGCACTGGTTTTGCAATTACAAATTTTTAAAATTTGATCTGCTTATATAACTTACTATAGCAAGTAGATATAACATTTCTTGCAAATTTAGAGTGACAAAAATTTACCAAAGAAAAAAATACACTTTTAATTTATGCAACTAGCTATTAAGATAATTAGTAACAAAGTAAATGAAATGATTGATGAAAATAATTTTTTTGATGTTAAATTCTTTTTCATAACTGTGTTAAAATAGATTGCAAAAATATTGTATTAGAATAAAGAATATTATGAAAAATTGAAAACAAATTGACTTTTTTTTAATATCAAAAGTACAAATAAAAATGAACCATATTTTGAGAAACATTCTTTATAATGTTATTAGTAAAAAAGAAAATTAAGTTTAAGGATTGTTACACCGAGAAATCAAATTCAAAAATTTTATTTTTATCAATAGTTTATAGAAAACTAAACAATCAGAGATTTTTTTTATTAATATATTATTTCATTTTCAACTATAGATTTCCTCGATTAAAGGAGATTCGAAATAATTGTGAATAAATCAGAAAAGAGCTCCCATTTCGAGTAATTATTTAAATATTGTTTAAAAATTACGATAGAAACATAATAGATGTTTGCTGAAAGTGTATCAAAAAATTTATTTTAATTGAACATAACAGAAATTCCTATCATTTCCTTCAATACTAAATTTGTTAGGTTTAAATCAACTCAACTGTCAGAGAGAAGGATTCGAATTATTATTTATTGTTTTTTATCTAGATTTTCTAGTCCTAATTTCTTTTTAAAAGTTTCCCTTTTCATATAACTCTTATTTATAAATATAACTCATTAGTGAATAGTGAAGTAAAATCAAGAATTGGTTGCTCGTTAACAAGCATGAAAAAGAGCTTAACTTTTGGGCCCAAACAACTAATTTTTTTTCATAAATTAAAACATTTAAATAAAGTTTAATTTATCTTCAATACAGATGCCTTTGTATTTCTACTTTTTTTGGAATTTCGAAAATCTTATTCCTAAGTTCATTATTGTAAGCATTTAAAACTCTTAGAAAATTGACATTTAATTTTTGTGCAACCGATCCCCCGAGACTTCAATTTATATCATTTAATCTAGGTATAGGGCATCTTAAATGAGATACTAAACCATTCTAAGAAGGATAAAGATTTAAAGTGCTTAAATTTTGATAATAAGAAAACCTTGACCTATAGACTAAATTCTTTACTGCATTCTTGGGAAATCACATCTCAGATTTTTTAGGAACAACCTCTGATTAAATGATAATCTATATATTCTAGATATTGAGTATATCCTCAATGCATATTACATAATCCTCTTGTAACACCATAAAAAATTATTATTTTCAATAATATAATATTTTTTATTGAACCTTCATTTTAATGGTTTTAAATTCCTTGAATGGGAAATACTGTTGTTAAATTCCATTTAGAGGCTCAATCAAATAGTCTTCTATTTAGTAAATCTCTTAATAAAACATTTGTTTATTAATAATCATATCTTTTGGTTATTCTATAATGAGGCCAGGGGCTTATTTATTATTTATTATTCAATTCGGTTATTGGAACAAACTTTCATCCAAGATAATGATAATGATGGTTAGTGGTTTATGATCAAAAAACATTTTATAGAATTATCCACTAATTAGGGCAATAGAAAATTAAAAATGTCAAAAATAGCTCTCTAATGAACTTCTTCTACTAGTTAACCTTAAATAATAATGTATATAAGTTACCAGATCTCTCATTATCACCTCAAGTATTTAATTTAACACTAGTGTTATAAGTAGATTAACCATTCCTAAAACATTAATATTAAATGAATTAAACTTCTCTATAATAACCAATCAAAGCCACACATCTACTGTATATTCAATACTATATCTTAAGGTTGTGCCTACATCCTTTTTTAATTTGAGTCCTATTCAAATAAATTTAAAAGCATTCAAAATGATATCCAAATTCATGAAAAAATTTACAGTGATATAACCATTTTTAAATAGAAAAATTGGCAATTGAAAGCAAATTTTCCACAAACCATTAAATGAGTAACTCTAGTCTATTCAATTTCTAATAATAAAATTTAGCAAATCTACAAAAACCAAAAATTTAGTATTCAAATTTTCATTTGTTGATATTTGAGTTGATTGTCGCTAGATCTATTTACAAAAAATTGAGATAACTTGAATATTTTTTGACAAACTGATAGCTTTTAAGTCAATGGAGGGTAATTAATTGACCTATTGAGGAATTCTGAAAACCTTTCATACACGGTGTGAAGGGAAAAGATTTCATCGCCCATTAATATCGAAGTGTTAGAAAGGAGATTCCCTTATCCATCTCTGTTCCCTAAAATATATTTGCAAGCACCAAAATGCTTATGATAAGGATTAGATTAGGCTAGAGGAAGGGTCAGGTCCTAAATTCCCAGCTGTTTGGGCAAGAATCGGATTCTTTCCAGAATTTTGATGTTATTAATTCATTATAATTAGGGAGGTAAAAAGGTACCTATTTCATATATTTTTTCAATATTAAATGATCTTGAGAACAAAGATTCCAATTGTTCTACCTTATTCTATCAACATTTTAAATTATGAGGATTATCTTAGATTATATATAGCTAATGAAATTAATACAACTATTATTTATTATATTCGTGCAATTTCATATAAATTATGAGGGTTTTCCATTTGTTATATAATATAATACGAACTCAACAATTACAATAATTATATTTCAAACTATAGATAATAGATTTCTCAAAGAATATCTAAAATAAAAAATAGCCTTATAATTTATTTTATTACTTTACTACTGTATTTCTTTTAATTAACTCAAATTGAAAAGCCACAACTAATTAATTATATTTCATGAGATTAAGCACAACAAATAAACTTTAAATATTTTTACATATTTTATATGATAATTTTCAGAATTACTTAAATTTTCTAATTTATATTTCCTTTGATTCATTATCCCAAGTGATCAAATATTCTCCATTATCACTTAATTAACCATAACAATTAGGACTACTAAATTCAATAGATTATTCAACTACAAAGTCATCATTTTCTTTCTTTTTTAATAAATTCACATTCTTGCCATTCTTATTCACCAAGAGAAATTTTGATTTTAAGTATTATTATGGAAATAAACACTCACAAACAGTTGAACCACACTTTACTGTAATTTCCTTAGTCATCTTATACAAATTATCATTAGCATCCATTTCAAATATTTACATCTTTTCTTTACATATTGGCTAGAATGTAAATAAGTTATCATTAATAAAACATAATCTCTATCCATACGAATCAAGTTTTATCTTTTATTTAACACTCCACCCTTTATCCAAATTAGACTATTCTATTATTAATATTTATGAATCTTTTGAGCAAGAAATCAATTTATTTTATTGTTCACTTAAACTTAATGAATATACATAATTAGTATGATCAGTTATAGTTTATTAACAAATCCATTAATTCTATTTTTTCCAAAATTTTATTGTTTTATCATAACTACCTGATATTATTAGATCATCTATATTATTTAACAATAAACAAAATATCCTACTTGAATGTCCATTTAACTTTTGTTAACAATTCCATTTATAATGTTCAGTCTCCTACCAAATTATTATTAAATTATCAAAACTTCCAGATGCAAAATTATTAGTCTTTTTCATAAAATTTAAAGTCAATACATCATTTTTATGCTCACTTAATAATTAAATTTGATTTAATAACCCTTTTTCATGTCGAAATACTTTAATGTCTTTACCAAATCCAGCTAATACTATGGAGTTATCTTTGCTGATAGCAATAGCGTAACATTTATCTTCTTATGGAATTGAACTTTAATTCATGAGTTCAAAGGTTATATAGTTTTGATTTGATTTAGATATATTTAGGTGTTATGGCTAAGCTAAAATCAATATTTTGGGGTCAGAATTTGGAATTTAAATTATTCCTTATAGTTTTTAAGATTCCTTTCTTTCTTTAATGTCTCATCTAATGATATTCCTATATCTGGAAATTATTATGTATCAAAGTTAAAATAACGTATCAAAAATTTAAGAAGATTATCAAGGGCTAATTTGCACTCTTAAATATTCTATTATGCATTTTAAACACTAAAGATTCGATGCTAAATCCATTCATTTAGAAGTTCTACAGATATTAATTTCGTAGATGTTGACCATGACGAGGCAAGCAATAATTACAATAAGGCCTTTAATCTTGGCAAATACTATCTATACAAAAGCCCATTATTTATTAATTTCTATGATCGGCTTAGGTACATCTAATATACATTTTGTATTTCTATTAAAATTACTATTTAAATATTATTTAATCTTGCATTCCCTAAAAGCATCTCAGAAAATATTTAATAAGAAATTGAAGAATATGCCAAATAGAAAGGGAATTAGGACTTCCTTATGCCGGACAATTTAAAAATTTTATTTACTATTATGTCATAGGGTAATATATATAATGCTTTTTCTAAAAATTTAGGAGATATTTTTGGCTGTCCATGTTGATAATATCGATCNTATGAATCTTTTGAGCAAGAAATCAATTTATTTTATTGTTCACTTAAACTTAATGAATATACATAATTAGTATGATCAGTTATAGTTTATTAACAAATCCATTAATTCTATTTTTTCCAAAATTTTATTGTTTTATCATAACTACCTGATATTATTAGATCATCTATATTATTTAACAATAAACAAAATATCCTACTTGAATGTCCATTTAACTTTTGTTAACAATTCCATTTATAATGTTCAGTCTCCTACCAAATTATTATTAAATTATCAAAACTTCCAGATGCAAAATTATTAGTCTTTTTCATAAAATTTAAAGTCAATACATCATTTTTATGCTCACTTAATAATTAAATTTGATTTAATAACCCTTTTTCATGTCGAAATACTTTAATGTCTTTACCAAATCCAGCTAATACTATGGAGTTATCTTTGCTGATAGCAATAGCGTAACATTTATCTTCTTATGGAATTGAACTTTAATTCATGAGTTCAAAGGTTATATAGTTTTGATTTGATTTAGATATATTTAGGTGTTATGGCTAAGCTAAAATCAATATTTTGGGGTCAGAATTTGGAATTTAAATTATTCCTTATAGTTTTTAAGATTCCTTTCTTTCTTTAATGTCTCATCTAATGATATTCCTATATCTGGAAATTATTATGTATCAAAGTTAAAATAACGTATCAAAAATTTAAGAAGATTATCAAGGGCTAATTTGCACTCTTAAATATTCTATTATGCATTTTAAACACTAAAGATTCGATGCTAAATCCATTCATTTAGAAGTTCTACAGATATTAATTTCGTAGATGTTGACCATGACGAGGCAAGCAATAATTACAATAAGGCCTTTAATCTTGGCAAATACTATCTATACAAAAGCCCATTATTTATTAATTTCTATGATCGGCTTAGGTACATCTAATATACATTTTGTATTTCTATTAAAATTACTATTTAAATATTATTTAATCTTGCATTCCCTAAAAGCATCTCAGAAAATATTTAATAAGAAATTGAAGAATATGCCAAATAGAAAGGGAATTAGGACTTCCTTATGCCGGACAATTTAAAAATTTTATTTACTATTATGTCATAGGGTAATATATATAATGCTTTTTCTAAAAATTTAGGAGATATTTTTGGCTGTCCATGTTGATAATATCGATCTCTTTTATCATTACATATAAAGCTCTTCAATCTGTATCTTAAACTAGAGACTCAGAGAATGATGAAAGAGAACAAAATTTCTGATTGTTTTTTGAAAATCGAATTTTTATTTATAAAGGGGAATGGATTTTATCTGAAAAAATCAGTATTTAATATTTTCAAAACAATAATCTCCTATCATTTCAGATAAAAAGGAATGAATCTATGCAGAACCCAATATTGCAAAAGACCATTTTTTTCATAGTTAGAAGAAAGAGATAAAATGGAAACTCAAATAATAATTTAATAATTTTAAATCCCCTAAATATATTGGATTGGAAGAACTGTTCAAAAATTAAATTCTGTAGGTTGAGAACTCGAGCAAAAAGACATTCCACAAATTTCTTTTATTTACTATAAAAATCAAAAGAGACAAGGAAAGAGGAATTATTAACATCCTACGGAGAGGATAAGAATACATGACTGATTAGAAACAAATTCCTTACCTATGCTTTGAGAGACTAAAGGGGATTTAAGAAGAACTTAATGAAGAAGAATACCAAAATAGACCATAAGAGAACTGAAGCAACCTTTCAGAGATGATACAAGATTCGAAAAAGGAGATTTAGATCTTTTAGAGATTAGATTCAATTTTACAAAGGGATTGCTACTATCTCTAAAGTTTAAAAAAACAATTTCATATGACGTTATTTAACTAACAACAGTTAGTCTAAGAAGTTGGACATTTAAAAATTGGAATAATCTAATTTATAATGTTTAGTTTAGAGAATGATTCCGAGAAACAAGAATGCACCAAATATAGCTCAAATGGAAAGATAAGCTATCAATAATGATTTAGAATCACCTTGTTAAATTTATAGAATTTTGCTGTTAAATTGAAAAAGATTCTAATTGAAAGAATAATTAATGATTAAGTCCAACATTTTAGAATGTAAGTCTAATCATTCAGATTACTTCTGGAACTGAAGAGAAAGGATAATAACAAGAAATTTACTTTTTTTTGACCTTTTAAATACTGACAGCCTTAGCCCCAGTTACTAGGGATCCGTTTCGAAATTGTTCTCGAATGATTCTGTATTCTAACCTAATATCAGTTAAATGAATAATCCCAATCAGAATTTATACTTTCCTAATGTGGATTTCTATTACTTTTGTCCAAATCCTCTAGTTTTGGATTCGAATATGGTTACCAAATTTACTCTTAGATAGTCCATAAGTGACTTCCTATTTCTATAAAGGTTTCCCTTTGTAAAAATTGATTTAGGTTAATCATATTCTAATTAGTCAACAAAAATTGCCCATCTTGTCTTGTGATATTTGTTTCAGTAAGATGGGGAAGAAATGACCAAAGCTGGGTCTTAATTTAAAAACTCTAATAAGGCATCATCAAGAAGATAAATTAATAGAATATTGTTTGTTTGTTATAATTTTTTTGAAGCTCAAATTTTATCATATATAGATATGTTATAAATTTTTAGAGATATAGTTACACACTTTCTAATGGTTTCAATTAATTAATGTAAAATTAAAATGAAACTCTAAGGCTTACTAACATATATCTACCTTTTTTTAACATCATCAAATTTTGATTTTAATGGAACTCAAAACTAGATATAATTCTTGTCATCAAATTAGCCTTACGCTTTATGCAAATCTTCTAAGCTCTTTTTAAATATTAATTTTATTTAGCTACATGCATGATTCACTATCTTTGAATAAAACAAAGGATCTTTTGATAAAAGCAAAACATCTAATAAAGGATGGTTTTATGAGAGATTTAATGAGTTATCAATTAAAATATTAACAGTGTAATATATTACAAACACTAATAATTAAATCAGAATCGATAATTTAAAGTTTATTAGAGTAGTATATCTTATCCTCTAAGGCACATCAGAATCTAATGAAACATACGGTTTCGAAGTGGAATGGCAAATTTTGTTTGTATTTATAAATGGGGATTAGATTTGTTCTCTCAAAGAAGCTAATAAACCCAGACTTGATATCAAACTCTTTGCACAATTATATTGGAGTGTTAAATATACCCAGCTTTGGAAGGCTATAGAATAATTGAAAATTGAAAATTTGGAAAGATGACTTAGAAGGAAATTATTTAGAGAGAATTGAAGGAATTTCTAATTTTCCGAAATCAAGTCTTATTACTTTTTAGTCATAATTAGACTGTATGGACTCCTAAAGAATACACTGTATGTCCTAAATAAACTAATCAAGCAAAACTTAAATTGATTTGGATAATACATATAGTTACATAATTGAGCACTCGAAATAGCAGATAAAACTTATAAAAGTAAATTAGAGAAAATTGTTAAATTTTATTAAAAAGATTGATATTATTGTCATTTAAGTAAGATAACTAGAATTAAAAACTGTTCATTGAATAATTTACCATTTCCTTAAATAAAATTCATTAATTTAACTCAAATTTAAACTAACATTGCATTAAGCCTATGGTGATCTGAGCTTTATGGTGAAATTTTTCATAAAGTAGTCATGATAAATATTTGATTTCTTAACATAAATACATGATTATTTGAGTTAAAAGATTGTTGATAATGTTTAAACTTCAAGCTTTAGTTTGATTAAACTAGGAAAATAAGATGCAAGAAACTATATATATAGAAATTACCTGTGAAAAGATGATAAAATTTGCAATAATTTTATTAACTCCAAAATAAGTTAACTAAAATGAGTACAATATAGAGTAAAACTGAATTTATTCGGCCTAAAAAAATGATAATTAAGGCTTTTAAATGTATAAATCTATCAGCCATTTTAAAAGATATGAAGATATTGCTGTTTCTTTAGTATTGAACAATCTGTTCTCATAAATCATGATGCAATGAATTTTAAAATAGAATTGTAATTCTTATACTAAATGTTAGGATAAACTACCAAACTAAATTTAAACCATAATATTACAATAAAAAATTTATTAATACATGAACTGTTTTCTCTTTTTATAAAAAACAATTTACTTTATTTATTTATCTATATTTATAATGATTATTCATTCAAGAGGAGAAAGAGTGTAAATATATTCTACACAAGAGAATCTATATATTAATTAAAAAATCAATTTCTTAGCAAATGGATTTTTTAATAGATGGTATATTAAAGGAGATCAAGATCAATTTTTTAGGCTGAAATAGCATTCAAGAATTCATGAATTTTATATTCTAAATCATTTTATGGAAACATTAAATCATCTTATTTATGTTTATGATTAATCGCTTGAATTTTGGAAAAGCAGAGTTCATATATAACTGCTTTCGAAACTTTATTGTATTCATTACTTAGATTTTTAATTTTAGAATTAAAAATATAGAAATTATGTGAAAAAACATATTTTGATTTAGTTTTGGAGCTATGATGCATAAGAAGAATAGTTTAAATTCTCCATTTGAAATCTAAGCATACTGAATCAAATTCCAAATAAAACTTATGGATCATTAAGAATACTTTATACTTAACATATTTGATATAATTTGAAATGAATTTTAGTTAAGAACTAGAATTTAACATATATTCAATTTATAATAAGTTGGGTTTACGTATGTTTAAAATTGATTAGCTTAATTTGTTATTATAAAAATAACAAAATTTAAAATAATTATTGTAAAATTCTAGAATTTAGATTATGTACTAAATTACATCTATTATAATTTCTTGGTATTATAAGGAATTCATCTGTTATTAAATGATATTCATGTATTATAAGTAGGCATTCATCAGTTCTCAAATATAAAACGTGTTGACAAAGTATTAAGTTATTGTAATTGTTCCTTTCTCTTAAATTATGAATAGGAAACAATAAATAGCTTAATCTTTAGTCAGCAAAGGTTTGCTATGTTTTAATAAATATAGGAGCTTATTTTAATAAGAAAATATAACTTATCCCAAAAAATTAATTATAAATTAAATTAATCCATAATGTTTTTACATTAAAATAATATTTAGTAGAAAACCAAAAACTTTTCGAACCAGAGATTTATTGCTTTAACATAGCAAATTTAATTTAACTATTAAATCATAATTCAATTTAATTTGTTTTGAGTTTTAGTTAATGATTCCAATCTAATTTAATTTCTTAATTAAACTTAAATTTAAAATATTTTTGATTTCGGATTGGTTTTTAATTGTACTTTTTGAATAAAATTTTAGAAAATGAAATCTAAAACATAAGTATACAAAGGAAACTTTGTATCAGAAAAAATAATATATATATATCTTAAGTTTTGTGGTATTTGATTTAAATGATAAAGAATTTGGAGAACTAATTTAGATTTAATAAGG